TTAATTATCAGATTATAGGGTTTGAGATGTTTTGGGGTAAATGTGAAATGTTTAATATTATTAGTTTTTAACATATTAATTATTAAATCAGAATCGTTAAATGTATTTGTTTGTATATTTATGATATTTTTATTAATCATATTTAGTAGGAAATTGTTATGTTTCAATTTGTTTGCTATTTGTGTATTGAGAATTTTTAAATTTTGATTATAGCTTACTATTATTGGTGGTTTAATATTTTTCCTATTTATATTTACAGCAGCTGTTGCTGTTGTTGGAGTTGTTGCTGTTGTTACTGTTTTAGCAGCTATGGCAGGTATTGTTGTTGTTGTAGATGAATTATTTTTCTTATTCTTAATATTATTATTATTAATGTTAGTGTTGAGATTAGTATTATTTTTAGATTTTTTATTATTATTCTTTTTATTTTGTTTAGATTTAGCAGATTTGGATGATGCTGCTGCTGCTGCTGCTGCTGCTGCTGTTGATGTTGATGGGCCCATTGCCAAATCAATTCCCCCATCATCATCAACATCAGCATCAGTTTTATCATTGTTGTCATCGTCGCCAATGCCAACGCCGAGTGCATTATTACTGCAGGAGCTATCATTTATATTTAAATCATCATCGGCAACGTCATCATCATCATCATCCTCAACAACATCCATCACCAAATCACGGTAATAATTATTGGTGATTGATTGATGACGATGATGATGCTGCTGCTGGTGCTGCTGTCGCTGTTGCTGTCGATGACGACCCAACGGCGACAACGACGATGACGATGGCGGTGGCGGCGATGGCGTTTTTATTTTTGATTTTTTTATTAACTGAGGAAAGTCCTCATCTGAATCATTTGAATTATTATGTATACGTTTCCTAATAATGGGCATGTTGGATGTTATAATTGATTTATGTATATTATCATTATTGATATTATCATTATTATCATTTTCATTTAATTGGCTTTTCAATATTGTATTTTCAGTTCTCAATTGGTGCAGCTCATCGAGCAAGCCACCCAATTGATCTACATCCAATATGTCCATTAATTGGGCAGCCATATCATTGGTTTCTGTATTATGAACTGATTTTTGTTTTTGTTTTTGCTTCTTCTTAATATTATTATTATCATATTCATTTGTTTCCGAATCGGAAACTGAAGAGTTTGGTGAAAATATGCTTTTATGCTATCTCTTTTATTGCTATTAATATTAGTATTGTTATTGTTATTTTTAATATTAATCTTGTCATTTGGATTAGTATCATTTTGTGTTGTATGATTTTGCAGTTGTTGTTGTTGTTGTTGCTGCTGCTGTCGTTGACGCAGCTGCTGCTGCTGTTGCATTTGTAATTGAATGGATGTTCGGTGGATGTTTTCGTTGCGAACATACCAAGGTGCCCCTGTGATAGTTCTCAAGATTTTTGATTGTGCGCGCTGTATGATGTCTATGTTGCTGCTGCTCGCGTTCCCCCACAGCTGGGAGCCATACGTCCAGATTGGCTTTAGGACTGAATTGTACAGTAGTAACTTGTAGTCCAGGCACAGTGGCGATCGTGAGTTTATGATCCAGTGGAGGCTGCTGGCTTTCAGTTTTAGATGCATCTTTTTGCATTCGATGTGCTTACGCCAGGTAAGTCGTCTATAAAGGTGAACGCCAAGGTACGTTATGTCGTTAGCTTGAGGGATCTGCATACCGTTTAGTAAAAGCGGAGGGCATGTTTGTCTATTAAGAGTAAACGTTATATGTTTACACTTTTGTTCGTTTATTTTAATGCGCCAGTCGGACAGCCACCTTTCCACTATTGTGAGATGATTAGCCAGTTGGGTTGTTGCCTGCGTTGGGCATCTGGAGCGACTAAGAATAGCGGTATCATCGGCGAACGTTGACGTTGTTAGTTGTGCGCTCGTAGGAATATCCGCAGTATACAAAACATATAGACACGGCCCGAGTGCGCTTCCCTGTGGAACTCCAGCTTCGATGGTGTAGTCGCCCGAAGTAGCTGCGTTGCATCTCACTGAGAATACCCTATTGAAGAGGTATGATTCCAGTAGCTTGTGGGTGTATGTTGGCAAATACGTTTTAATTTTGTGCATGAGTCCGATGAGCCAAACTCGGTCGAAAGCTTGAGATACGTCGAGGAAAATAGCGCTGCAGTATTCTCGTTGTTCGAAGGCTGAGCGTATTTCGGATGTTAATCTGTTCACTTGTTCGATGGTTCCATGGTTTCTTCGAAAGCCAAATTGGTGTGCCGGGATGATATTGCAAGCTTCCAGATGTGGTATTATGCGAGTTAACAAGCATTTTTCAAACAGTTTAGACAAACAAGATAGAAGGCTTATTGGTCTGTATGATGACGGAATTGTGTGGTCTTTTCCAGGCTTCGGTATCATTATAATAATGGATTTCTTCCACTTTTTGGGAAATAGCCAAGATTAATGATTCCATTAAATAGTTTGCAGACGACCTCTATAGCGCATTTTGGTAGTTCGATCAGCATCTTTGGGGTCAATAGGTCAGCACCGGGAGCCTTTTTTGGTTTTAGCCCTCTTATGACTTTTTCGATTTCGTTCGGCCGGAATGGAGGTGCGGCTGGCTGAGGGGAGGACTCTGGCTGAATTACTGGCAGGAGGAATGAATTTGAGGCTGGGTTTGGCTGGAAGACACTTTGGAGATGTGTGGCGAATGTTTCAGCTCGGTCTTCGTTGCTTGAGCCCAGCATCCCGAAGAGTTTCTTATCGGGGTGGTCGTTTCAATTGGGGCACTAAGATTTGGGTGGGCCCTCCACAGGGGGTACTTTGTGCTTGTTGGCGAGAGATTCTGGATGTACCTCAGCTGTGCATTTTCTTCCTGTTGGTGATGAGCCTGGTCGAGTGATCGGGTTGCTTCCTTAAGGCGTTGTTTTGAAGCTGGTGATCTGCTGTTTTGCCAATCACGACGCGTGCGCCTCTTTTCTCGCACGAGCTGTTCGATTTGCTGATTAGATTTGAAGTGTTTGTTTCGGTCTACTTCTTTCCTATGAGGAGTAGAGATTTTAGCTGCCGCAACGAGTACTTCTTCCAGGGCGCTCGTAGTGTAGTCGATGTCCGATTCCATGTTAAAATCCGGGGCGAGTTCTATGTGGGCACTCACGTACTTTTTGTATTTTAGCCAGTTTGTTTTTGTCGTCGTCAGACTGAAGGGGTGTTCGGTTATTTCTGGGCTTTGAAGAAGCGTTAGAAGCACAGGCGAGTGGTCTGATGATAAGTCCGAGACTGCTTTGGCACTTATTAGATTGCGAGGTATGTTTTTTGTCACTGCAAAATCAATAAGGTCTGGGAGCTTTCGTGAGTCTGTTGGCCAGTATGTGGGACTTCCAGGGGAAACGTAGTCCAGTTTATTTTTCACATTTATAATTGCATTGTACAATTGTCTTCCTTTGGGAGTCACTAGACGTGATCCCCAGTGCGTATGTTTGGCGTTGTAGTCTCCTGCGGCTATAAATCGATCCCCAAGTGAATTGTAGAAGTCCATAAATTGTCCTTCCGAGATTGAGAAGCGAGGAGGGCAGTAAACGGCAGCAATTGAAAGGATTCCGTTGCTTGACTGAATTTGTATCGATGTGGCCTGCAAGAAGTTTGTTGCAAACCTTTTGTGAAAATGGTGTTTAATTCGTTCTCTGATTAGAACTCCAGTTCCGCCGTGGGCTTTCCCATCTGGATGATCTGTGCGGTAGATTGTGTAGCCTCTTATATGAAAGTTGTATTTGCTTGTAAGATGCGTTTCCACCAGTAGCATAACGTCAATATGGTTTTCGGTCAAGAATTGTGACAATTCTAGTTTATGCCGTGAGACACCATTGGCGTTCCACATTGATATTCGTAGCGCCTGCATAGATTATTTGGACTGTTGTGCTACGAGCAGCTGTATCACCATGTTCTGGTTTTGAACAAGCGTTTGCATGGTCGTTTTCATGAATGACATAAGCTCCATCATACTTTGTTGGAGGGTAAGCATCATAGTTTCCGTTTTGCTGTGTGGCTGTTCTGGGGCCTGTTGAGCGCTTTGAGAGTTAGGCTGAATTGGAATTTCCCTTCCAGATCGTAGAGCATCGGCATAGGAGAAGCCGTTGGTGGTGTTTAGTGGACCGAATGAGGATCTCGCAGCTTTGGCGAAGAAGACGTCTGGCGTGGTTTTTGACGAAACGTACGCATTCTGTGGATTTTGGTTGCGCGTTGCGGTCGCTTGACGCATGCGACTCCTTAAATCCTTATACACAATACATCCTCTATAGTTTGCCGTATGGCTGCCTCCGCAGTTTCCACATTTCTTCACGGTACTGTCCTTGTTTGTAGTGCAGCAAGCGGACTTGTGGGCGTCCCCGCAGACTACACAGACAGCCCGAAGTGTGCAGTAAGACCTTGTGTGTCCATACTCTTGACAATTAGTGCATTGCACTGGACCGTTACGTTTATGTGGCTCTTCAACAGTGATTTTCCGATGCAAAAGATATTGCAGGTTGTAGATTGGGTGGACTTCGTTCTTCTTCAGCGACCTGCTTTCAGGCTCGAGCTCGACCTTGAAGAGGGGTTGTGGCTTTTTATCTAATATCTATGTTAATAATGATGTTAATCTATGTTGTGGCTTTCTATCTATGTTAATAACATTCTTGGCGGCGAAGCCCTTTTCTTTAAGGGTGGTTTTTATTTCCTCGGCGGTAACATCAGGTTCTATTCCCTTTACTACCACTTGTAGGCCCTTACTGCTTTTCAGCTGGTACGTGTAATAGTTTTTCTGTACAGTGTCCAGATATTTTGACACTATTCGGAAGTGCTCTTCAGTCTTGGTTTGCACCTTTGTTTCATGGATGTTCCCTTTGATAAGCGGAACAACATGAAAGTTTTCACCGTTCCCGATCAACGACGCAATTTTGTTGACCAGGGCACTCGAGCTTTTTTCCCTAATATAGATTGGAGGGGGCTTGGGTTTTTTTGCGGTGTTTGGGCTGGTTGGTTTTCCTCAGCTAGCTTCCTGCAAAGCCATCACAGCAGAGCTCTGGAAGCGCAAATCTGTCTTGAAATCCTGAGCTATTTCACGCACCAACCGCTGGAATGGCAGTTTACGGATCAACAGCTCAGTACTCTTCTGGTAGCGACGGATCTCACGGAGAGCCACAGTTCCGGGGCGATAGCGATGGGGCTTCTTTACTCCTCCGGTGGCTGGCGCACTTTTACGTGCGGCCTTTGTAGCCAGTTGTTTGCGTGGGGCCTTGCCACCAGTCGATTTACGAGCAGTCTGCTTTGTACGAGCCATTTCAATTTCCAAATTCACTGTTCTCTTCGCGCCTCTAATAACACAATAAACGTGCTGCCCGTTTCGCTACCTCTTTATATACCAGAAACGCCGAGGGTTGAAAAGAGGGAGATAGAACGACATGCCATTTCGTCTATTGGGTTTACGAAGAGCGGGAAAAGCATATCGCTCCGAACTCTTCGAATTCTCGTTGAATCGGTATAAAGAGCGGTGGCTCCTTCCGCGTTAAGTTAGCCATACTAAATGACAAGTGCAATGTTTTCAGGTTTGGGTATTTACATTTGCCAATAAGAGTTAGAGCGAGAGCGAGCGTTAGAAATACCGTTAGACTTTGATTCTTAGAATTGAAAGGGTTGTGGTAACAAGTGTATATAAGAAGCGCTTTTTGGTAGTGTTGTGTAAATACTGCTCTTTTAGGTGAACATGTTCACTTGTTCTTTTTTTTCAAAAGAGTCAACTCACTCATATTGCTCACTTGCTCACTGTTCATTGCTCAGTTGCTCACTTGCTCACTGTTCATTGCTCAGTTGCTCATTGCTCAGTGAATTACCAAGCCAATGATTATGATTAGATTATGTTTCATAATTAATTTTCAAACTTACCGATATTTTTACATTTTAATTTGTGGCAAAACTTTTGCTCCCTTCATTGGGCATTTAAAAATAGTAAAACGAAATCCTTCATGGATAATTGAATTCCATCCATAATATTCCATTTTTGGTTTAAATTCTGTACTTATTGAATGAGAACAAAATGTGCAAAAAGAGTAACTAAGCACAAATGAACAAGGGAGCAAGTGAACAAGTGAACAAAAATGAACAAGTGAACAAAAATGAGCAAAAATGAGCAAGTGAACAAAAATGAGCAAGTGAACAAAAAAGAACAAAAAGGAAGGAACCAGTTCGCTCACTCAGTTGAGTGAACAACTCTTTTTTGTTCACTCACTCATGAGCAACCCAACACTACTTTTTGGGTGGTCGTCGTCACTTGATCCTGACAATTGGTCACAGTTGGACGATCCGACCCTAAAAACTCTAAAGTGGTGAAAAAGTTAAAAAATAGTGAAAAAGTGGAAAAATCAAAAAGTAGTGGAAAAGTAACAATCAATAAAAACAGTGGAAAAAGTCCCAAAATAGACCAAAAATTAAAAATAATAAAAACAACAATATTGAAACAATAAAAAGTGCAAAAAAATTTATAAAAACAACAACAACAATAAATCCAACAAATCAACGAGTAAAAGAGGCAAAAGATAAAGAAGACAAGGAAGGCGTGAAGGCGTAGTGAAGGAGTCGAAGGAGAAAGGAGAAAGGAGAAGGAGACGGCACTATTGTTAGGCAAAAGGTAGGGTCCTATATATATATAGGTATAGATAATTACCACCACCACCACCAAAATTGGTGGCATCCTGAATAACAACAACAACACACCGGTGAGCGAACATCCAAGTGTTCCTAAATAATAACCAACTAAATTTCAACACAAAAAAAAGTGATAATAATTAATAATAATAAGCCATTCCCCTTCACTCATACGCACACACACACACACACTATTACGTTAGCTTTGAATTTTTAAATTTTAAGCGCGTTCTCAGTGTCCCTGTTGTTGTTGTGGCGGTGCACGCGCGTGTGTGTATATAAAGAATAGTGAAGAAGAGCGGATTGTGCAACAACAAAAAGCAAAGAGATCAAAAACTTAAATTTTCTAAAAAAAAAAAAACATATCTATAAATAGTTGTTGATTTACTTTTACTAAAATAATTTAATATATACTAATACTATTTAACTAAGAATCAATAAGAAGAACCAACGAAAGGAAGAAGAAGAAGAAGACGAAGAAGAAGAAAGGATTTTTGTTTAGAGAGAGAATAAAAAGCTGAATTAGAACATTTGTATAATTTTGCAAATGAAATTAAATTCAAATCAAATCAAATCCCACCCCTTAATAATATTGCGCATTCTATTGGACTGTACACATATACGTGTATGTATATGTGCATGCGCATGTAGATTATGTTGCGCATATTCATTTATGCACATCATATCTCCCTCTGCCAGCACAATCGACACCAAATTTATACAGCATTAGGGTCAAACAAAATTTATTAAATTTTTTTTTTATAGGTTATATATTTCTAGGAGTTTATTCGCCCCTTTATCTCATTTATATACACATATATATAAAAATCTCTTATACACAAATTATTATTATTATAATATATATATATTTTCTCTCTTTACTTGAATATATATATTTTTCTTCATATTTTTCTCTCATTTCATTTCTTTCTTGTATATATATATATATTTCTTATATTTCTTAAATTCTTCATAAAAACTTTTTAAATTATATCACATCATGAGTAAAAATCATGCAAATAATAAAAATAATAAAAAAGGCAATCAGCCAAAAAATAAGAAACAACTACCCTTATCATTGACACCAGCATCGGTATTGTCTGCTAAACTTCAACATTATAAGGCAGCAGACATCCATGCCGTTGCTGACGTCAACGATAATGATGATGATAATAATAAAAATAATAGCAACAAAAATAATAATAAAAATACTAATACTAATACAAAAATACAAAAATAATAATAATAAAATTAAACCAACAACTATTGACAACGATAAAGATAATAATAATGATAGAAAATTTAAAATCTCATCAAATATAAATAATGATGATAATAATTATATCACTGATACCACCGCCACTACCACCAATAATAATGACACTGACATTGGCAACACTACCACCATCGCCATTGACGCCGTCATTGCCAATGACAATGCCACTCCTCCTACTATTACCACCATTACCACCCCTACTTCAATCTCAACCACTGCCATCAGCAACTTTGCTGCTATCAATGTTGTGGCTACTACTACCACCACCACCACCACTACTGATGTGGGCAACATTGATACTTCCGCCATATATGCTGCAACAACAATAAACACTGCTGCGGCCAATAACAATAACAATAACAATAATAATAACAACAATAATAATAACGACAACACTAGCATCGATAATAATAATGCTAATACTGTCATCATAACCGATATTTCTTATCCGAATATAATCAATATCGATGATATAATTGAGAAAAATTCAATTATCAATAATATTACTACTACTACTTCTGCCACTACTTTTACCACTTCTTTCACTTCCACTATTACAAACAATACCAACACCACCACTAATTTTACAAACACAAATATTAACAATAATAATAATTATGTTAATCCATCAACATCAACACCATTATTATTACAACAACAAACACCAATTGATATTGTAAATAATCCAATTCAATATCAATATCTCATAATACAACAACATGATGAACAACAAAATCAACAAAATCAATTATTTTTATTGACCACAACATCTGCATCATCAAATATACCAACATCAGAATTAATAACAGCATCATCAACAATAATGGCAACGACAACGACAACGGCTACGACAACGACAACGACGTCATCGGCAATGACAACGTTAATGGCAGCACCATCCATGCCATTATCACGTTCACAGCCACCGTCACCGTCACCGTCACAGTCGCCGTCACCGTCATTGTCAATATCGACATCACCATCATTGGAACAATTATTAACATTGTCACCATCACCGCCGCCACAGCAATGGCAGCAACAATATATACAATATAAAAAACAGCAACTAGTTCAACAGCAACAACAACATCGACAACAATGGTGTTATTATCAACAAAATCAACAAGAACAGCCACAATTGTTGCAACAGCAACAACAGCAGCAACAACAACAAATTTGGTGGCAACATCATCAAAATCAACAGCAACAGCAACAGCAACCGCTGCCGCTGTCGATGCCGATGCCACCACCACCCCCGCCACCACCACCATTGGCACCATTAACAACAGCAACAGCAACAATAACAAATCAACAACATTTACAATTGTTGCAACTCCAGCAACAGCAACAGCAACAACAACAACAACAAGCTAATCAGCTTATATTATCTCATCCCCAACACCAACCATCATTCATTTATATGAATGAACCAAATCATCCCCAACAACATATCATATCACAAATGCAACATCAACAACAACACCAGCAGCAGCAGCTGCAACAACAGCAGCAGCAGCAGCAGCATCATCATCAACGACAGCAGCAGCAGCAGCAGCAGCTGCGTCAACGACAGCAGCAGCAACAACAACAACAACAACTGCAAAATCATACAACACAAAATGATACTAATCCAAATGACAAGATTAATATTAAAAATAACAATAACAATACTAATATTAATAGCAATAAAAGAGATAGCATAAAAAGCATATTTTCACCAAACTCTTCAGTTTCCGATTCGGAAACAAATGAATATGATAATAATAATATTAAGAAGAAGCAAAAACAAAAACAAAAATCAGTTCATAATACAGAAACCAATGATATGGCTGCCCAATTAATGGACATATTGGATGTAGATCAATTGGGTGGCTTGCTCGATGAGCTGCACCAATTGAGAACTGAAAATACAATATTGAAAAGCCAATTAAATGAAAATGATAATAATGATAATATCAATAATGATAATATACATAAATCAATTATAACATCCAACATGCCCATTATTAGGAAACGTATACATAATAAATCAAATGATTCAGATGAGGACTTTCCTCAGTTAATAAAAAAATCAAAAATAAAAACGCCATCGTCACCGCCACCGTTGTTGCAACAATCGTCGTCGGCATTGGATCGTCACCAACATCGACATCAATCAATCGCCAAAAATTACTATCGTGATTTGGTGATGGATGATCCAAGGCACCTTATATACAACACATGCCAATAACCCTATTCCCCTGTAAATAGCCCCCCCCCCCACATTAATGTAAATACTCCCCCTAGCTGTAAGACATAAAAACTGAATCTAAACTGCCACCAGGTTTTTCTTTTTTCCCTCGCAATCTACTTCATAATAAACACTAGTCAACTGAACATCAACATGATATTAAAAATAAAAACATTACACAAACTA